GTCTTGTTTAGACTTTTCCTGGACCAGTGTTAGTCTTAGTTTGGACTTTTTCTAGACCAGGATTAAGTCTAAATTAAGACCAACCCCGGTCTAGAAAAAGTCTAAACAAGACTACCCATGGTCCAAAAGTCTAAATAGTCTTAGTTTAGACCAGGGGATCAGGGTTAGTCTTGTTTAGGCCTTTTCTAGACCAGGAGTTAGTCTTAGTTTAGACTTATTTCTAGACTGGGGTTTGTCTTAGTTTGGACTTTTTCTAGACCACGGTTAGTCTTGTTGAGACTTTTCTAAACCACCGTTAGTCTTGTTTAGACTTTTCCTAGACCGGAGTTAGTCTTAGTTTAGATTTGTTTCTAGACCACGTTTAGTCTTGTTTTGGCCTTCTCTAGACCACGGTTAGTCTTAATTTATACTTTTTCTAGACCGGGGTTAGTCTTGCCTTGTCCTGCTTCATCTTCTCACTTTAGCTTTTAATTAAAACTGTTTTTAGTTTTAGTTTACTTTTAGTTTTTCTTTTTTACTTTTTCCATTTCAAATGTATGAAAAGTGTTATAGAAATAAAGTTTGATTGATTGCTTTAGTCCTTTTTTAGACCTGGTTTAAACCTCGATCTGTTACATACTGCAGTATAAGTCTAAGTCTGGTTTCTGGTGCTCAGTGCAGGTTCATGATTGTCTTAGTCCTGCTTTAGTGATGCGATAGGGCAATAATGTTCTGTTTTGCATTTTTTTGAGCATCACTCAAAGTCCAGCCCTAAACAGTAGATCTTTGCTGTTGAACATTGTTTGTGGACATTATAAAACATTAAACTGTGGCGCGGCCCCCTGACCATAGCTCTCTGAAAACTCTGCCCTCTAGAACACGGAATCCAAGTCCCCTGCACTAAATAATGAACACACACGCTCATAAATCTAACGAAGATCTCCACTGTCACTGTGTGTGTAGAAGTGTGTGTAGAGCAGAGAGGGGAGTACGCTCCGCTCTACAGGCCCATATGTGGCTCGACATGAGAAAACTGAATTGTTCTCAGATTAAGGTGCGTGTGATGGATGAGAGGGATCAGGAGCAGGATCTGAGCTGGGCTTTGGAGAGATGAAGAAAGCCGCTACTCGGAACTAATGGTGTTACCCAATTAAATATTAAAGGGGCTCGTATTACTATTATTTTCTGATCTCTGTTTGAACGTTGTTCCCTCATCACGAACATACAGTACCTAGAGTTGTTTTGTTTCATTCACACACGTTTAACGCACAAACTCTGCATATTTAGGCTGAGTTCTTCTCTCAAACTGAAAACACTTTGTTCTACCTTGTGATATCATAAAATGGTAATACAGGAAGTGCTCCTGTAAGTAATCGGAAGATAATAAACAGTACAAATAGAAGTAATCTGATAAAAATGAACAGTGCTAATAAAAGTAATCTGATAAAAATAAACATTACAAATGGAAGTAATCTGATAAAAAGAAACAGTACAAATAGAAGTAATCTGATAAAAACAAACAGTACAAATGGAAGTAATCTGATAAAAATGAAGAGTACAAATAGAAGTAATCTGATAAAAAATCAACAGTACAAATATAAGTAATCTGATAAAAAATAAATGGTAGAAATGGAAGTAATCTGATAAAAAATAAACAGTACAAGCAGAAATAATCTGATAAAAATAAATAGTGCTAATAAAAATAATATGATAAATATAGCCGCAAGCGGCGATGATCGGCCCTCGCGTGCGCTCACGCCGCGCCCCGCAAACGCAGCGCCCCGCAAACGCCGCGCCTCACACTGACCCTAATAATCCTAAAGTTAAACCTTACCCTAATCATAATCCTAACCATAGCCCCAACCCTAAACCTAAAAATCTTAAATTTAATTTTCTGCAATTTTCAAAATTTGGCAAAAAAAAAAAAAAAAATCCAAGATGGCGGACTTCCGGTTTGTAAAGGGGCGTGGTCACAATATACATTTTTGTTCTTATTGCCATGATGCATGTGGATACCAAATTTGGTTTGGCTACGCCAACGTTTGTGTAAGGACGTCCCATTGGCAAGGATACAATTTTGGCTTGTTGCCATGGCAACACAATGTAAATGGGATGTGAGCATCATTGAGTTTTTTAATCGAGACCATGTCACAAATGTGGATACCAAATTTTGTATATCTGTGACAAATAAAACCTTATTTTTACATACAAATTTTCCAGGGGGCGCTATTGCACCCATTTTTGTATTTTCTTACATCAGTCTGTTCAGGGTTGAGGTGTGAACTTATGATTAAAATTTGAGTGAAATCGGCCAAAGTTTGTGCAAATTATCACTCGTTGAAATTTGATGGTGAGCCCCAAAAACAAACCTGAAATTTGCACCGTTGCCACAGCAACACCGTGTGACCTTTTAAAAAGCTTTTAACAACTTTTAATGTCCCACTTGTCTAGATGATACAGAATGATTCTGTCTGGGTCAAACGCCCAAGGACGAGTTCGTTCAAGTACGAGGACAGGTCGCACGATCAATCCAATATGGCCGACTTCCTGTTGGTTGCCTAGCAACCGCATAATATACTTTTTTGTTCCTATTCCCATGATGCATCTGTGTACCAAATTTGGTTTGGCTACGCCAAAGTTTTTGTCGGGCCTATTGGCAAGGGCAGATATTTGGCCTGTTGCCATGGCAACACGATGGGAAATGGCATGGGGTCGTCATTGACTTTTTTGATCAAGACCATGTCATGAATCTGTGTACCAAATTTTATATGTGTACAACAAAGTAAATGTTTGCACTACCATGCAATTTCCCTAGGGGACACTATTGCGCCCATCTGAGATTTTCTTATATAAATGTGTTCAGGGTCGGAGTGTCAATCAACGATTCAAATTTGAGTGGAATCAGCCAAAGTTTTGTGCCAGAATTTGTAGATTTTACCAATGGAGAGTTTATGCCATCGCTATGGCAACGCCATAAAAAATATGACATGGGTGTCATTGACTTTTGGATCAGGATGCCAAAATGGAATTTTGTGCAAAATTTCAGAAATTTTTGAGCAACTATTTGGGAGCAAATGAATTTTTTCCATATTAAATTTTGTTTCAATCTATAGGGGGCGCTAATGCACCAAATTCATAATTTTCACATGAAGTAGCTTCAGGGCAGAGAGTTTAACAAATGTTTCAAATTTCATTGAAATCGGAGTTCGTTTGAGCAAATGGGAGCAATTTGTAAATGTCCTAAATTGTGAGCATTTTTTGTTGCTTCACTGCTCAGAGATCGTAAGACGTGTGTGAACAATTTGGATATTTGGGGTCATTGGTGAGTGACGGGCACTGACTCGCTCGTCATTCGCCATCTCGTCGGGGTCGCCCCCCGACCTTCCATTGACTTCCATTCATTTTAGCAGTAGTAAATATGGCTCAGGCCTTGGGCGTGGGTTACTGGGATACTGTTGTTCGTGCCGGGGGCGACCGTGAGGACAATGTTACATGTCGCCTTGTCGCATTTGGACATGCGCACGTCGCTCCCCATTCGCTCCACTTAGCGGAAGCAATAGGCCCTACGCCCTGTCGGGGCTCGGGCCTAATAATAAGAAATGTGGTGGCATATATATATCATTGGAAAGGGCTCGCGTCCAGTAACGCACCCGTGTGGTCCATTATCAATGACGAGCGCGTTGTCAATGCGTGCCATGTCAGCGGGCACCAGTCACTGACATGTGAGTGTGTGTTTGGAAAGCGCTTTGCGCTCTGTTGCGTGTGCTGCGCACACGCCTTCCCGCAGTGCTTCGCACTGCTGAACAATAACAATAGGCCCTACGCCACCCATGGCGCTCAGGCCTAATAATAATAATAAGAAGAAGAAAGAATAATATTCTGATGCGAGAACAATGTTCCGCTTTTTTTTGGCCGACAAACTATACATTTTCGGAAACCTCTGGTGCATTGCTACGTGATGGCGAGGGTCCCTGGTCACTACGGGCGAGTCACGTTGCGCCATTCCATTTTTCGGCCACTCGGAGCATCGCTTTGCGATACTAATAGGCCCTTCGCCAGCCTCTGGCGCTCGGGCCTAATAATTATTATTATACAAATTCTTCTGAGCTTTAGGCATGTTTTCTCAAGAAAAAAACGTAAAAGTAGCCAAAATTGTCTTCCAAGTGTCAGATCTGCCAACTATGGCCCCTCCCGCACTGCTCTCTGTGTCTCTTTGTTGCGCTTGTAAACACAGCGCCCGTTTCAAAGACTACTGCATGTCCCACCCACCGTTTGAAAGCTCTGGTGATAGGCTAAAACAATATGTCAATCACTTTCTGGAAGATCCAATGACTGAAGAGATTTCCCGTAAACAAACTGATGACGCGTGCGTAAAGCCAGGAAGTACGTGGGTGTGTTACCTTCTTCAGCGGCTTGTCCCAGCTAAACCACGGCACCGACAACAGCGGGGAGGGTCTCATTTTGAAGCTAAGAGTGTGAGGAAAACAAGCGTACCCAAGAGCGCCAAGAGAAAGGGAACTCAGAGAGGCAGAAGGCTCGGAAATTCAACATATATTTTCATTCACGCATTTATCCACTCATACGGACGATGATTTTCTGGATTATTTACCCACATGGAATTATTTTATGGAAAAAACAACTTGATATTCTTTTTCTGTGGATTATTATGGACTTATTGAGTACAACTTTTCATGGATTGAACGCGTTTTGGACCGACAGAACTGGCTCAAAGGTAAGAAATGCGTATCTCATTCTTTGATTATGATGTGAATTTTTAAGTTATAGCGTTTTGGGCTCGCATAAAATGAATGATATGGTTGTTTTATTGAGAAATTAAGCTTTTCAAACGATGTATGGCATGCCAGTAGTGAAAACAATAATGAAGGTGAATATACAGAGTGAACATTTTTTATTGGAAAATCGCCCGCCCACGGGCGGGTGGATGGTATGGGCCAGGTTTAAACCAGGTCTGAAAACCTGATCTAAACCTGATCTCACCCAGGTCTGAGCTGGGGTTTCATCTAGTTTGTCCCGTACTCCTCCTTCGTCTTCTCTTCCTCTCCTCTCACGCTCTCGTTCTCTTCTTCTTCTTCGTCGTGGAGTTCGTATTTGTCCTTCAGTCGTGTGAGAAGTTGGTTTCTCCTCTGCTCCTCTGCTAATGTCTTCGTGGAGCTCTCCAGCTCGGCATGGGCTTTCTGCAGCTCTTCACGCATCTGCTGGATTTGCTCTTGCAGATGTGCTCTCTCCTGTTTGATCTTTTCATGTTCATCACAGAGAATCTCCATCTTCTCCAACAGTTCTGTGTTCCTCTGTCGTTGTCTCTCTGTCTCTCTAAGCTCCTCCGATAACCTGTTCTCCACACTTTTCAGATCTTCGGACATGAGCTTCTTATAAGATTTCAAAAAAAATTTCCGAGGGCCTGAGGAACCGACTCTTGTCAACGTTTCGAGCTCCTCCTTCAAATTCACCTTCTCTTGGTTGAGCTCGGTGACAGCTTTGAGGAGCTCTGAATGGGAGTCTTTCAGCTGAGCATGTTGTTGACGTTCCTCCTTCAGATCTCGTAGGTGTGGACAGACTTCACCTTCTGCTGAAACGGGCGAGTTTTAACGTTCTGGAATTTTAAGGGCGGGTCAGGACTAATTCAGGTCTAAACCAGGTCTAAACCATGACTAAACCCAGACTAAATCAGGTCTAAACCAGGTCTAATCTTGGAGAGAGAGAGAGATAGCGAACCCTGAGCCCCGCGGAGCAGGTGTCCGAAAAACGCGACGGCTGCATGTACCTCTTCTCCAAGCTCTGCACCGGTCCTTTCGCCCGCGGACACTCGGGGCTACACGGAAGGACCTCCGAGCACATTTCGACAGTGAGTCCTGGTTTAGTCCTGGTTAAGTTCTGGTTTAGTCCTGGTTTAGTTCTGGTTTAGTCCTGGTTTACTCCTGGTTTAGTCCTGGGTTAGTCCTGGTTTAGTCCTGGGTTTAGTCCTGGGTTAGTCCTGGGTTAGTCCTGAGTCCTTGTAGAATTGGTGTCTGACATTGTAAATCACGTGCATGTTGTTTACATTGCTGTCTTGACTTTGGTTAAATTAGTTTGAAAGGGCATCGGAAGGTTATTTTGACACCGCGTGTTTATTTCCTGTCTTTCCCCTGCTAAAAACCTTGGAGAGGTGATGCTGGAAAACTAGTACTCCAATCTATGTGGAGCAGCCCTTCATGCGCTTGTCGGTAGCGCCTATAACTCTAGTTTTGTTGCTGGTTTTTATTTTCAAAGTTTTGGATCATCTCGTTTTGTTGCTTGTTCTGATTTTTTAAGTTTTGGATCGTCTTGTTTTGTTGCTTGTTCTGATTTTCTAAGTTTTGGATTGTTTTGTTTTTTGCTTGTTCTGATTTTTTAAGTTTTGGTTCCTCTCGTTTTGTTGCTGGTTCTGATTTTCTAAGTTTTGGATCGTCTCATTTTGTTGCTGGTTCTTATTTTCTAAGTTTTGGATCATCTCGATTTGTTGCTTGTTCTGATTTTCTAAGTTTTGGATCGTCTCGTTTTGTTGCTTGTTCTCATTGTTTAAGTTTTGGATTGTCTCGTTTTGTTGCTGGTTCTGATTTTCTAAGTTTTGGATCGTCTCGTTTTGTTGCTTGTTCTTATTTTCAAAGTTTTGGATCATCTTGATTTGTTGCTTGTTCTGATTTTCTAAGTTTTGGATCCTCTCGTTTTGTTGCTTGTTCTCATTGTTTAAGTTCTGGATCGTCTCGTTTTGTTGCTGGTTCTTATTTTCTAAGTTTTGGATCCTCTCGTTTTGTTGCTTGTTCTTATTTTCAAAGTTTTGGATCATCTCGATTTGTTGCTTGTTCTTATTTTCAAAGTTTTGGATCATCTCGATTTGTTGATTGTTCTGATTTTCTAAGTTTTGGATCCTCTCGTTTTGTTGCTTGTTCTCATTGTTTAAGTTTTGGATCGTCTTGTTTTGTTGCTGGTTCTGATTTTCTAAGTTTTGGATCCTCTCGTTTTGTTCCTGGTTCTCATTGTTTAAGTTTTGGATCGTCTCATTTTGTTGCTTGTTCTGATTTTTAAAGTTTTGGATCCTCTCGTTTTGTTGCTTGTTCTGATTTTTTAAGTTTTGGATCGTCTCGTTTTGTTGCTTGTTCTTATTTTCAAAGTTTTGGATCGTCTCGTTTTGTTGCTTGTTCTGATTTTCTAAGTTTTGGATCCTCTTGTTTTGTTGCTCGTTCTGAATTTTTAAGTTTCGGATTGTCTCAATTTGATTTTTAAAGTTTTGGATCATCTCGATTTGTTGCTCGTTCTGATTTTTTAAGTTTTGGATCGTCTCGTTTTGTTGCGTGTTCCGATTTTTTAAGTTTTGGATCGTCTTGTTTTGTTGCTTGTTCTGATTTTTTAAGTTTTGGTTCCTCTCGTTTTGTTGCTGGTTCTGATTTTCTAAGTTTCGGATCTTCTCGTTTTGTCGCTGGTTCTGATTTTCTGAGTTTCGGATCCTCTCGTTTTGTTGCTTATTCTGATTTTTTAAGTTTTGGATCATCTCGTTTTGTTGCTTGTTCTGATTTTCAAAGTTTTGGATCGTCTCGTTTTGTTGCTTGTTCTTATTTTCAAAGTTTTGGATCGTCTTGTTTTGTTGCTTGTTCTTATTTTCTAAGTTTTGGATCCTCTTGTTTTGTTGCTCGTTCTGATTTTTTAAGTTTTGGAATGTCTCAATTTGATTTAGAAAGTTTTGGATCATCTCGATTTGTTGCTTGTTCTCATTGTTTAAGTTTTGGATCGTCTCGTTTTGTTGCTTGTTCAGATTTTTTAAGTTTTGGATCCTCTTGTTTTGTTGCTTGTTCTGATTTTCTAAGTTTCGGATCCTCTCGTGCAGATCCTGTTTCTCAGTCTCTGAGACTTGCGGCGTGACCGTAGGTCGAAATTTTCTAAAATTTTTAAACATTTTTTTCTGTTTAAATATGCAGTAGAGAGAGAGAAAAGCTCTAGTGTAAATGTGCAGTAGTAGCTCTAGTAGCAGTACACGCAGTAGTCGCAGTACACGCAGTAGTTGTAGTACACGCAGTAGAAGTGGCAGTATTCTGTGTCTGTAGTGTTTGTTTCGTGTTACACTTATAATCTTCTTCAAAACAGTAAATTCCTTTGTGCTTTGTGCTTGTCCTTTGTGGATGATGTCATAAAGTAGTAGTAGCAGTAGTAAAAGTATTCTGTCACTTTAGTGTTTATTTCACTGTGTCACTCGAAGTTTAACTTTAAAGCAGCTTCGTGCTTCTCTGATGATGTCATCAAGCAGATTTCTATCACTATGGAGATCCAGGGCGGCATTAGAACATCACGTTGCTACGGCGACAGCTTCTCAGGCTCCAAAACTATTTTAGATTCTAGAATGTGATGATGTCATCGTTCCAGAGGGGAGCTAAATCATTTTCCCATTACGATGTACTTTTCCATCTGTATTAATATTAGATGGAAACCATGGCAACAGAGAGGTGGTCTGCTCTTGTGGAAGCTTTCACATGTTGAACGTTTAATGTTTTTTTATAATTAACAAAACTAGTCGATCTCACCTGGGACAGAAGGGGAGGGGCTTAGACAGTTCTTCTTATAGATTGGTGCAAATGCACAGTCCACTCACAGAGATCAGGAGTCTAACCCACAACCTCCTGGTGAGAGGGAGGAGACAGGAAAACCGCCCGAAATCAGAGTGTTTGTGAAAGCAACGGCTGAAACGTCCCCAACACATTTGCACGACTTCATTGTTTTTGATGATTCAAGGAGAGTTACTCAGAAAATACTCAGGTAAAAAGGCGGGGCCTCACTGCTCAGGTAAAGGGGCGGGGCCTCACTGCTCAGGTAAAGGGGCGGAGCCTCACTGTAGTAAACAAAATCACTCTTTTATATGTTGATGGATCCACAGGTGAAGTCTCCCTGTCCAGGATGTTGGAGCTTTTCTCACATCACAGTCTGACCTGTTCATTTTCAGAAAAGTCCTGGTGTTTGACACAAAGAAATACAAATTGAATTCACAAATAATAATAATAACACAGTTTTGTTTTGTATCTGAACTAGAAGTGCAGAGTCTGATCTTTGAACACTGAAGAGTCTCAAAGTGAATGGTTTTACTGTAGACAGGAAACAGGTGACACAAAGGTCTGCACACAGATCCCGCTTCAGTCTTTGCGATCGGGGATTTAAAGTCTCGTAAGATTCTCCTGGTGTCTGTGGCGTTCGCTTTCTGTCGCACGTTTAAAAATGGTTCAAAATCCTGTAGTGTGTGTCGGCCGTAACTGCTGCTGCGAGCCTCATCGTTCTGCTCTTAAAATGTTCATATTAATCCGCTCTACGTGATCCCGGGTTTTTCATTTTGCTGTTTTGTCTGTAAATCGATTCCTAAAATGCAGCTCTGTATGCTCCCCTGTAACCGCAGGCGTCGATGAGCTTCATTTGACTGGAGCCGAGCGATTTCTTTACAGTCTGTGGACGTCTAAAGAGGAAAAGGACTCCGGATTTCAGCATTTTCAGTTTGTATTTTGGATTTAGATGTGAGTCATTTATCATTGAAAGACAAACAGACTGTGAGTAAAACACAGTGATAATAATAAAAATGAAATGTGAAGTTTTTGAGGCGCCTATGTTCTATTTTTGTCGTAATTACACGAGGGATTCGGGACATGCGCACGTCGCTCCCCATTCGCTCCGCTTAGCGGAAGCAATAGGCCCTACGCCCTGTCGGGGCTCGGGCCTAATAATAATTCGAGCAAAAACAATATATCCCAAAAATTTAGAACAACATATTATACGTTTTTTGAAAGCTCTCGACCTTCCCCACGTCACCGTGGGGTCATTGGTGAGTGACGGGCGCGTCTGGACCATCTCGTCGGGGTCGCCCCCCGACCTTCCATTGACTTCCATTCATTTTAGCAGTAGTAAATATGAGCCAGGCCTTGGGCGTGGGTTACTGGGATACTGCTGTTCGTGCCGGGGGCGACCGTGGACATAGTTGCATGTCGTCTTGTCGCATTCGGACATGCGCACGTCGCTCCCCATTCGCTCCGCTGAGCGGAAGCAATAGGCCCTACGCCCTGTCGGGGCTCGGGCCTAAATAAAATAAAAATAAAATAATAATTCGAGCAAAAACAATATATCCGAAAACATTAGAACAACATATTATACGTTTTTTGAAAGCTCTCGACCTTCCCCACGTCACCGTGGGGTCATTGGTGAGTGACGGGCACTGACGCGCTCATCATTCACCATCTCCTCGAGGTCACCCATGGCCTTCCATTGACTTCCATTCATTTTAGCAGTAGTAAATATGGCTCAGGCCTTGGGCGTGGGTTACTGGGATACTGTTGTTCGTGCCGGGGGCGACCGTGGACATAGTTGCATGTCGTCTTGTCGCATTCAGACATGCGCACGTCGCTCCCCATTCGCTCCGCTTAGCGGAAGCAATAGGCCCTACGCCCTGTCGGGGCTCGGGCCTAATAATATTCCGGTACGAGAACAATGTTCCGCTTTTTTTTGGCCGACAAACTATACGTTTTCGGAAACCTCTGGTGCATTGCTACGTGATGGCGAGGGTCCCTGGTCACTACGGGCGAGTCACGTTGCGCCATTCCATTTTTCGGCCACTCGGAGCATCGCTTTGTGTTACTAATAGGCCCTTCGCCAGCCTCTGGCGCTCGGGCCTAATAATTATTATTATACAAATTCTTCTGAGCTTTAGGCATGTTTTCTCAAGAAAAAAACGTAAAAGTAGCCAAAATTGTCTTCCAAGTGTCAGATCTGCCAACTATGGCCCCTCCCGCACTGCTCTCTGTGTCTCTTTGTTGCGCTTGTAAACACAGCGCCCGTTTCAAAGACTACTGCATGTCCCACCCACCGTTTGAAAGCTCTGGTGATAGGCTAAAACAATATGTCAATCACTTTCTGGAAGATCCAATGACTGAAGAGATTTCCCGTAAACAAACTGATGACGCGTGCGTAAAGCCAGGAAGTACGTGGGTGTGTTACCTTCTTCAGCGGCTTGTCCCAGCTAAACCACGGCACCGACAACAGCGGGGAGGGTCTCATTTTGAAGCTAAGAGTGTGAGGAAAACAAGCGTACCCAAGAGCGCAAAGAGAAAGGGAACTCAGAGAGGCAGAAGGCTCGGAAAGTCAACATATATTTTCATTCACGCATTTATCCACTCATACGGACGACGATTTTCTGGATTATTTACCCACATGGAATTATTTTATGGAAAAAACAACTTGATATTCTTTTTCTGTGGATTATTATGGACTTATTGAGTACAACTTTTCATGGATTGAACGCGTTTTGGACCGACAGAACTGGCTCAAAGGTAAGAAATGCGTATCTCATTCTTTGATTATGATGTGAATTTTTAAGTTATAGCGTTTTGGGCTCGCATAAAATGAATGATATGGTTGTTTTATTGAGAAATTAAGCTTTTAAACGATGTATGGCATGCCAGTAGTGAAAACAATAATGAAGGTGAATATACAGAGTGAACATTTTTTATTGGAAAATCGCCCGCCCACGGGCGGGTGGATGGTATGGGCCAGGTTTAAACCAGGTCTGAAAACCTGATCTAAACCTGATCTCACCCAGGGTCTGAGCTGGGGTTTCATCTAGTTTGTCCCGTACTCCTCCTTCGTCTTCTCTTCCTCTCCTCTCACGCTCTCGTTCTCTTCTTCTTCTTCGTCGTGGAGTTCGTATTTGTCCTTCAGTCGTGTGAGAAGTTGGTTTCTCCTCTGCTCCTCTGCTAATGTCTTCGTGGAGCTCTCCAGCTCGGCATGGGCTTTCTGCAGCTCTTCACGCATCTGCTGGATTTGCTCTTGCAGATGTGCTCTCTCCTGTTTGATCTTTTCATGTTCATCACAGAGAATCTCCATCTTCTCCAACAGTTCTGTGTTCCTCTGTCGTTGTCTCTCTGTCTCTCTAAGCTCCTCCGATAACCTGTTCTCCACACTTTTCAGATCTTCGGACATGAGCTTCTTATAAGATTTCAAAAAAAATTTCCGAGGGCCTGAGGAACCGACTCTTGTCAACGTTTCGAGCTCCTCCTTCAAATTCACCTTCTCTTGGTTTGAGCTC